TGTTCCCCTTGAGGAGACAAAAACAAGTCGCGGTTAGATATTGGTAAAGCAATGATACGTTTCTTGTACAATTCTCACATGAGCGTGGCACGATAACATTCGAGAGATGAGAGAAGGAGAAGGAGTTATTCCGGAAATTGTAAGCTATTGCTAATTAGCAGTTAGCTCTTATTTGTTCCTTACTCGTTCCGTGGTAATGACTCTATGTACCTTATTGTAAAAGTGTTACCAACAAAAGCTCTGTGTCAGCAGAAGGGAGCGTCGGTCGCCGGGTGTGAGGCGAGGAGGATTATGGGATTTTATCCCTTCAAAGAGTCAGCCTCCAGTCAGGGGAAAAAACAGCCCCTTTGATTTTCACGGGAGCAATATATTCATGAGTTGGACCTTGAAACTACAAGGAGACTAGTGTAGTGTGCCATATGCAAAACATGTGTTTTAATAGGGCATGATAACTTGGTACATTTAAAGAGATTTGCCCCTTAAGAAGCTGTAATTAAAAAGCGAGCTGTGGCTGTATGAGTAAAGGACTCTCTCACAGAGGGGGTTGTTTTTATAGGCACTCAACTGGAGGCGGCCTCTTGTCTTTTGAGACATCTGAAGATTTTTTTTGAGCGGGTCTGTCTCGAAATCCCCGAAGATATCAGGAAAGAGAAGAGGGCAAGATGTAACCTACATGCATCTGTGAATCTCTTTTCTTCATTGGTGGTATACGGCATATATGTTTGGCATTTCATAGCCAATTCAGGTCACACAGGATTGCTGTGCTATTGGTGCGGCGCAGACACACAGCCTTTTAAGCAACATGCTGAGCTGTGAGTATTTCACTGTTGTCTCATCAACCCCATGCTCCTCTCAGCATGTCCCCTATTCAGCTAAAAACTAGCTTCATGTCAGCAATAAGAATGGAGGAATTGTATTCATATTTGCCTTGTAGGACTTTGCTAGTTACATGCATAAATTGCTATGTTTTAGAGAATCATATGGAGGTCATAGCCCAAACAGTTTTCTCTCTCTCCTGCATTAAACCCCGTTCCTTGACCTTGATAAACCTGTATTTGGCAGAAGATAAGCAGTCCTTTTACATATTGGCAGTGAGATGAATGTTACCTCCGCCTGCTGCAGTGAGGCTGTACATGTTACTCAAATGTGACTTGAAGGTTTGTGCACTGAGACGCTATTTACTGTCGGCAAAAGATAGTCCCTCTCATCTCTGCTATGCAGCATGTGTTCACATAACGCACACATCATACACAACAGCAGTCACGCACGTACAGAAAATGTAGGTGTGCACACATGTATTCTGAACACGAAAAAGCAGCGTGAATGCACACAATAGGAAATTCTCAGGAGTAATAAAACAGCGGTACCTCCAGTCTTTTCCCCCTATTGTGCATCTGCTAACCTGTGTCTAAAACCACCTTTGTGATGGTATAATCCATCCTCCACACCACTGACTTACAGTAAGTGCTCAAAATAAGGCATTGCACCATCCCTCCACCCCTCCCTCAACCTATTTTTCTCTGTCCTTTCACTCCCCCCCCCCATCTCTCGCTGTCCCTCTCCCTTCTCTGATCTGCTGTGTTTGAGTACCAGAGGTCACAAGCTTTGGACATAGCAAAGGCCCCAGCCTGGCCAATGTGCTGACTGAAGGGATATGGGGCTTGACTTTGGGCAGTGTGAAAGATCCAGGCCTGCCTTGTTTGTCTGTCTGTCCGTCTCACTGGCCACACTATAACAAGATTGCAGGGCTCTGTAAGGCGGATTTACTGGAGCACAACTCCCCCTAGGGCTTTTTCATAGAAATGGGTTCCTCCATATTTCACCAGAGCCTCTCACTCTCTCCCTTTGTAAAATGTGTCTGTAGTTCTCTGTCTCTCTCTCTCTCTCTCTCTCTCTCTCTCTCTCTCTCTCCAAACCTCTGTTGTTAGCGTCCGCTTGCTTTTGTTAATTATGATATGCTTCTTTCCTTTCTTTCTTCGGATAAAGATTGAACCTCGCCAGAAATGAAAGCATGAAGTTGAGCCAAACTGAGCTGAGAAAAGCCGACACAATGACAGAGAAAGAGGGATGGAGGGCATGGCCTGGAATAAAGTGCGAGCTATCATATCACAAGTCCTCTCCATATTTATCTCTCCCTCAAGATGGCCATTTATTTAGACGGCCTTTCCCACGTCCTTATGGAATCTCATAAAGACATGTGAATGCATGAACAGCACCCTGACCGGGAGGTTTATCTCGGTTTAATATGTCTCACAGGTTTTATTCTTTCTAGGTCACCTCGCTGCAAATTGAAAACCAAGGTCATCAACCCAAACATAACTGACCAAACAATTTTTCTGACTGTGTGTGCATAGCTGCCACAGCAATGAATCCTGTTTTGTCTCATAGTTAATGTTGACACAAATGATGGGGTCTTGCTGTCCGACCGTCCCAGCTGTGCAAACGGTAAATGAGGCCAATCCAAATGCAAAGGCACACCAAGGCGAGCTTATTTTGGGACCACTGTGTCATCCATTCCACAGTACAAAAGCCCCTCTACAAGACCATTAGTGGGAATGTGGGGAGCAGCGACTGTATACCAACCAATACCAATTTGGATTTGTTTGCCAACTCTTTATGGCAAAAACGAAGACAGTTTTCTTTCCGTCATAGGTACAGCACATTTGCTGTTTATTTCTTTTCTGTGAAATACAATACGTACAATTTATGGTAATCAAATCATTTTCGACACCAGCAATTCCAAAGTGTGTGAGCTGGCCCCAGTCATTGTTTGAAGGTCAATCTAAAGTGAGGTTGTGGAAAGTCTAGTACTTTGTGCGGAAAAAAGATTGCAACGCCCCGCTTTCAGCGGTCACCCTGGCCCTATCTATCCTTCAGGTGAACTCTTCCATTTACAGAGCCTACAGTTGAAGCGGTGAGAAGTTAAGTAGAAGGTGGAAGGTGAGAGAAGAGCCAGGGAGCTCTTATCAGGCCTGCTACACGGTGCTGGGTTCAGCCGGGGGCTGCTGATGGTTGTGGGACCCCCTGATTATAGAGGTTAGCCTGAGGAGCTGAGGGGAGACAGTGGGCACAGGTCTCCCAGCAGACCCCAATACCACCATCAAGCATTAACTTGCACCATTAAGTCCAACCAACTGCACACACACAATAGGACCATTCTCCCTCTTGGATAATCTTTTCACTGCAAAACTCTCTCTTTTCTGACATCGAAACTGATATCGGTGGGGAGCCAACAAGATGAATGACCCTGCAAATGCTGCATTAAAAAGTCATAAACGGGGATACCTTCAGGGTCCTGGATTTCCGCTGTTCGAAGGGGTGGCACTTATTTTTCTGCTGACTAATGACCTGAACTGAACAGGTGGTCCAACAGAGTACAAGGACCTCAGCAATGTGTATTGTCACTCTCTGGCTGACAAATGGACACACAAACACTCAACCATGAAATGGCCTTTCTCTGTCCAACTAGCGAATGGCAATTGGAAACCTTACACTTGATTGACAGTGGGGAGCTCGGGCTTATGGCGGAAGCCTCACAAAGTGAAAACAGAGCTTAAACAAAACTTGAATAACTGCTGAAATCCACATGATGTCATCCGTATGACTGAAGCTCCCTCGGAAGAGGTGGTTTGTGTGAGGCTACTCCTCTGTGTCCTGCGTCAGCACTGACTCATTGGTTTCACAGCACAGAGCTGACATTTTCATTGGCCCAGAGATCACTTATGGGACAGGGTGTTGGCTCCTGTGAGGGCGCCCAGTGAATGCTGATGCATTCGCAGGCCACATTTGGCCTCCTGTGGAACATTTGACAGCATGTGACTGTGTCTGTTGAGCACAAAAGGATTATTTAAAAGAGTGGCTCTGGGTTGAATCACTCCACCGCAAACACAACACCTGTTAATTTACAGTACCGTTTTGTTTTTTTCTTTAAATACGTGTTCCACGCCATGATGTTTATTTAGTCTGTGCAAACAGGGGGAAATATTGAACCTCCGTGCTGTTAAGCAGCATGATAATGAAAAGGAGATGTAACTATATTTACACGCTCAGAATCCCCAGGAGCTATTGGCTCGTTCGGCAATCAAATTAAAGACCGGTAGTTAAGTTAAATGATGTTGAGCCAAAAATATCCGTCACATTTGAGTGTGTAAGCTCAGTGGCGCTCTGCAGTATCGTAAAGTCTTTCTACCAGGTGGAATGAGTCGAATATCTCAGCAGTGCCCCACCCCCTCTGGACGCACACAAAAACACACACCGGCACCATCCATAGCTTCAGCTTCCAACAAACCTCCCTGACGCCTCTGGCTAATTCCACTCAAGCCCGCAGGGCTGTCCTGCATCCTCTAATAAATTAGCCTCGCTGCTCCCCCACTGAGACACAGGCCCTGACAGTCTGGACGGTGCCCGAGTCACTCGCTTGTGCACACAATCATAATTATTGCAACTTTTTATTGCAGCCACAAGATCTTCACTGAGTAAACTTGGGAATTTTCGGTGCATGCTCCGTTTGTCGACAGTGTCCGATCTCAATTCCATTTTGATAATAGGAAATTAAGCATGACTAGGTTGTAAACTGTTAGTAAGACAGAGGGACTCAATCACTATATCCCATCAGTTTTAGCTGTGTACCTTCCCTTCCCAGGCCACAATTGCTCAGAGCTGTTGCTGTGAAGAGAAAAGTGTTCTTTGACTGCCCTTGTCAAAAGGGTTTAACAAAAAAGATCATCATAATACTTCTCTCTGACCTCCTGTGTCAAACTTAATTTCCTGTAAAAAAAGAATCCTCTCTCTTCAGCTTCCGGGTGTGACGTATCTCAGCATCTGTCAGATAGTGATTGGGATTCTGGGTCATATCTCTTGCTGCGCCTTCCGTCTCAATTTCCTCTATCGGCATGGTTTTGCTTCCTATCTGCAGCATCTGCCTCTTGTCTCAAGTTTGGATCGAGCATGTGTCCCCATCTGACATCTCTCTACCTCCCCCTCCCTACCTCTCTCCTCAGTTCTATTCAGCCTGCTGTCAGTGGGTGCCCAGACTGAGATGAAAAAGGTCGTCGGGGACAATGCCACCTTACCGTGCCACCACCAGTTCCCATCATCCAGCTCTCTCGACATCGAGTGGCTCCTGCAGAAACCAAACTCCAAACAGAAAGTGGTGAGTTAAGATTCCCTTTTCTTCCTGTTTTTGTGAGATTTTAAGACATTCATTGAAACGAGTCCCTTGGAAGTGCTGCAAAGTAAAACTTACAAAAAAAGGTGATGCTTCTTTAACTGTTCATTGCCAAAAGGAGCAGCCTGAACTGTGTCCTCTTCGGGGGTAAAAAGTGTTTTACAGGCCGAACATAAACAAAACAACATTTGCGCTAAAACGCAGACCTCTGTCTACTACTGCTGTATTTTTTCTAGCTGACATACTGTATATCTTCTCCTCCTTTCTCTACTTTCATACATCCACTTTTTTTATCTACCTTCTATCTTTCGTCCTTTCGAGTCATGCTGATGGATTTACAAAAGGAGCCATAATAGCTGCCCATTAACTCAATGCCCAAAGTTACTGTGGCACTTCAAGTTTTAGTACCTTTCACAAAGGAACAATCATGCCCAGAATGTTCCCCAGCTGATTTTGTAGTTCTAACCTTGGACCCTTTTTCTACAGCATTAAAGACACAAAAATGAAAACAACTTGGACACAATTTTCAATCAGCTTTTATTTTCTTTTTTAAATGTGACCACAAAGTTCCTTACACCTAACACAGAAACAGTCCTAATGATGTTTGCATCTCTTTCCATCTGATGTGTGGCTGTTAGCTCGGTAGCGACCTAAAGAACTGGAACGTCGTAAGCTAGCCAGAAACCGCTAACTCAAGCTAAAGTTAGCTAACAGACGGAGCAGCGTTACTGCAGTATTTCTCTCTAAAACAGCTTCAGTGGTGACTCCAGGTTCTCTGGAGATGTTTCTGTACCCTGCCTCACCAACACGCAACTGACGTGAGACCGCTCACACACTCCCTCGAGCTCCACCGAGGGCATTTTGTTGTTTCCAAAAACGTCAGCTCATGAAAGAAAGACAGTGTGCGCTGCATATCTGTCACTCTGAAGTGCTCCTGTTTTCTTTTCAAGTTATTATAGGCCCACTTGTTTTTACCCAGTGACTTTCAAGGCTTCACATCATGAGTTTGAATTACTTCTGGGCATATTAAGCATCTGTTTACATGCTCTCTGTCTTTTACATTGTTTGCTTAAGTCAAATAAAACAACTTGAATTCCAAATACATGATTTATGTTATTACAATACACTACTTCCAGTGGCATTTCGTTGGTTTTCCTTTGCTGTGTGTCTGCCTGAAAGCTAGAGAAAAACTCAAAACATAGATGGCAGCTGATTCAAGACCATGACAGTGCAACTATTCTGTCCTAAATAAATCATCACCTTGCTGAAAGTCTTTAAAGAGCCGTGACTTGCTTTTGTGTCTCACAGCCTCTTGAGACATTTTTGGTATAGTTTCAGTGGTTTTGAATTATTGCCTTTCTTCACCCAAATTGAGCGTAGTATCTGATGATAGACAGAGCATCAAATCTCAACATCTTCCTGTCGGAAGAAAGAGATTTCCTTTCTCTTTCGAAGTCGTTCGTTCATGGGCTGATGTGTTGGTTAGCACAGGGAAATATGAGAAAGGAAAGAAGAAGAGTGTGTGGAGCGGGAAACCGAGGGGCTAGGAATGAACGAAAGGGGAAAACAATTGTTATGCTTTGATGATTCAAAGGGGGGCTGCCACATTGCGATGAATATTTAACGGGACGATAACATTGAAGGCGCCATTAATTAAAATCAAACGTCTGAAAATTTGATTAGGAAAGAGAGTGCGCCTGTAGCTGAATGAATAAATCATTCTTTTGTTCTGCTGGAGGGCCGTGTTGAGAGGGAAAGAGCATCTTGTCAACATTTAGCCTCTGTTAGCTAATGTACAGGTTACATGTGTTAAGAACACGGAGGGGCGAGAGACGTCTCACCGACGTTCATCTTACATCTTCTTAGAACTTACTAGCTTCTAATAAAGTGGCCCCTCAGATTCTCACTGTGCTGACCTGCAACTATAGTCACCCTCAACACTGGGTATTCCCATAGCAACAGCAGTGGCACAGACCTGGAAAAATGTAATTTTCCAAAAAATGTAAAACAATGAAAGTAAGCTGCTTAAAGCGGAAATTCTCCACGTTTCACAAATCATCATCCTTTTTTTGGAAAACACTAGCAGCACTGTTATACTAGGGTTGCTGTTGATTTTCAAAGCAACAAAATGCAAAATTGCTGCCCATACAGTACACCATTTTGAACATAGGTCTACTTTATTGGCATTCATTACCAGGACAATTGTGGCCCACTGAGCTGATACATTTTCATGAAATAGAAGGTGGAGAGGCGAGGGTCTCCAACAACAGCAATAATGCAGAATATGTATTTTTCTGTATTTCCTTCTGTATTTTTTCTACCATTCAATAAATATATATATATCATTTTATGAGGATAATTAAACACATAATGAATGACAGTTTTAAATCAAAACGTAAGTGCCTTGAATGTTTGAATGTTAACAAAAAACTATTGGTTTGTGTGAAATCTGGTCCCAATATTCCTCAACAATTCCTCCTTTATCAGAAATTAGGTGAATAGCTATCATCTGTTTGAACAAAGTATCATGTATGATACAGAAATAAGATACATAAAAAATGAAGAACTGATATTTTTACCAAAAGCACACAGTCCAGGCAAAGACGAGGTTCTTTTACTCTCAGTATATTTCATCTAATGACTCCTATTTGTTAAAATAGGAGTCATTAGATGAAATATACTGAGAGTAACAGTATATGCTGTTGTTGGAAAACAACAAACAACAAACAGCAAACAAACCACCTAATTTTAATTGCAAACTATGCCAACAGCCTGTGGCCATTTTCTAAATTCTTCTTAAATTCCTCACACTCACTGGCACTTTCACTATCTCTCTCTTGCTGTCATAAGTAAGTGTTCAGAGGACACCCAGACATAACCAGGAGCATGAATACACATATCCACTTGTAGTGCGGTCCATACTCATGTGAGTAATAAATGAGTTCATGAAGGCAGCTGAAGTGTGCCCATAGGCAGGTGCTTTTTTTAAAATATGTCCCACTTTGTGTAGGTGCCAGGGCCATGTCGCTCTGTGCCTGTAGCTGTGACACTGTTTGCATTCATAGTGTGTTTCTACTCTACATTTGCTCAGAAGCTACTTTGTGTGTGTAGATCTGTGCATGTGTGTGTGTGTAAATGCCCAGTCGTCACCTGTGATCACAGCAGGTACCCCTGTGTCTTAGGCCCTGATGCACTGTGGCACCGGCATTTAGCAGTCCCCATCTGCAGGCTCTCACTTGCCCTGAGTAATAGGCCACTGTGACAGCTGTGTTTGTTTGTGTTTGTGGAGGTGGATGGAGAGAAAGAGAGGCAAAGAGAGAGAGAGAGAGAGAGAGAGAGAGAGAGAGAGAGAGAGAGA